GAAGGGAATCAGAGACCCCCCCAAATCACCGGCAAGTTCAGTGATTGACTAGGAGGACTCACGGGGCTAAGCATATAGTCATACGCACTACAGTGTGTGTGTTACAATAAAGGGATACAAAGCAAAATCAGCAAAGGAAAAAGGCACATCGGGTAAAGTCCAGAGAAAAATAGTCTCCAACTTCCAAGAGTCTTCCCTGACTGAAGTCACACAAGCAGGTACCAGACTCCCCCAGCAACAAGTTGAGACGACACGGCTAGAGTGTCTACCAGGGAAGCGCACGAGGGACTCAGGGCCCAGGGTGTTTATTGGGGACTGATTGTGTAGGCACCCTGTGCCTGGCACATACAAAATGCCAGTGTCCCAGAAGGAAAGCAGGTGTTCGGCATAAACCCTCTTGTCTGCACAGTCCAGGTAAAGTGAGCTCTGCTGATGGTGGGAACTCGGCCAAATCCAAGTTCCTGAAGACCTGCCAAGGGCCAGCCTTGTAAGCAGGCCTTACAAAGGGTAGCAGTCAGGCTTGTCATACTGACTTTTTACACAGTATTTTAAAATATCAGGAGAGAAGCTGATCAGCTAGGGAAGCAGAGGAAAAGGAAACCTGGGGGCACAAGTAACGGCAGTGCTCGTTTCAGCGCTCCCCGGGAGCGACAGCGTCCGGGCCAAGGACCCAAGCTGTCTCCACCGTGCGCAGGATGCCTCTGCTGCCTTAAAGGCTGAAGGATGCTCCTCAGTACCATTCATCTAGCTCCCTTTGTTTTGATTCCAAGACATTTCTAATTTATTTTAATTATTTGTTTAAATTTTTTGTATTGCTATTATATTTACAAAGTCACAAAATCAGAAAGGCATATTGTGAAATCTCTGTCCCTCCCAAGCCCAGCTCACTCAGTTACTATCTCTCCCTTTAGGTAGTAGTCACTGTTGTCTGTTTCTTGTTTAGCCTTCTAGAAAAAGGTTTAAAAAATGCATATATAAGCCAATATGTGCTATATAAATGGTAGTAACATGCCATACACAACTGCTCTGTATCTTACTTTTTTTTCACCACTAAGAAATGTTGGAGATCTATCCATATTCAATCATAAAGAACTTCATTCTTTCTTGTAACACCCTAGTATTCCATTGTATGGTTGTGCCATAATTTATTCTACCAGTCCCTTATTGTTGGTCATTCGGTTGTTTCCAGTCCTTCACTACTATTTAGCAATGCTGCAAGGAATAATTTGGGACTTATGTTATTTTACAGGTTTGAGAGTATATTGATGGGGTAAGTTCCTAGTTGTGGAATTGCTGTGGTGATGGAATATACATTTGAATTTAACAGAGCCTGCCAAATTGTCTTCTAAAAAGTTTGTACTAATTTATACTCCTACCATCTACATATGAATGTTTGTTTCCCCATATTTTTGCCAATAATGTATATTTTCAAACTTTCAGAAAAATGCTAAATTAGTAGATTACAAGTGGTAATTTAGTGTAGCTTTGATTTTATTTCTATTATCAGTAAGGTTGAGCATCTTTCATGCATTTGAGGCAATTATATTCCATTTTCTATGAATTCTCTTGCTACTTTTCACTCATTTTTCTACTGGGTCAACAGTCTTTTTCTTACATATTTGAGAAGTTCTTTCTATATTAAGGACATTAATCCTTTGTAATGTGAGTTGCAAATATATTTCCCAGGACATCATTTGGCTTTTGACTTTTAAAAATTTTTAAATATATTTTCTTGATTATGCTATTACAGTTGTCCCATTTCTTTTCTGCCCTTTATAATTCCACTCCAACCTGTACCTCCCCCACTTAGTTTATGTCCATAGGTCATACATATAGCTTCTTTGGCTTCTCCATTTCCTTTACTATTTTTAACCTCCCCCTGTCTATTTTGTACCTACTATTTATGCTTCTTATTCCTTGTACCTTTTTCGCCATTCTACCTCCACCCCCCCACCCACGCTGATAACCCTCCATGTGATCTTCATTTCTGTGATTCTGTTCCTGTTCTCCTTGTTTGCTTAGTTTGTTTTTGTTTTTGTATTTTAGGTTCAGTTGTTGATCATTGTGAGTTTGTTGTCATTTTACTGTCCATATTTTTGACCATCTTCTTTTTCTTAGATAAGTCTCTTTAACATTTCATACAATAAGGGCTTGGTGATGATGAACTCCTTTAACTTGACCATATCTGGGAAGCACTTTATCTGCCCTTCCATTCTAAATGATAGTTTTGCTGCATAGAGTCATCTTGGATGTAGGTCCTTGCCTTTCATGACTTTGAATACTTCTTTCCAGTCCCTTCTTGCCTGAAAGGTTTCTTTGGAGAAATCAGCTGATAGTCTTATGGTAAATCCTTTGTAGGTAACTGTCTCCTTTTCTCTTGTAGCTTTTAATATTCTCTCCTCATCTTTAATCTTGGGTAATGTAATTGTGATGTGCCTTGTTGTGTGCTTCCTTGGGTCCAACTTCTTTGGGACCATCTGAGCTTCTTGGACTTCCTGGAAGTCTATTGCCTTTGCCAGATTGGGGAAGTTCTCTTTCATTATTTGTTCAAATAAGTTTTCAATTTCTTGGTCTTCCTCTTCTCCCTCTGGCACCCCTATGATTCGGATGTTGGAACGTTTAAAATTGTCCCCGAGGTTCCTAAGCCTTTCCTCATTTTTTTGAATTCTTGTTCCTTCATTTTGTTCTGGTTGAATGTTTATTCCTTCTGTTCCAAATTGTTGACATGAGTCCCAGTTTCCTTCCCTTCACTGTTGGTTCCCTGTATGTTCTTTATTTCACTTTGTATAGCCTTCACTTTTTCCTCTTATTTTGCAACCATACTCAGCCATTTCTATGAGCATCCTGATTACTAGTGTTTTGAACTCGGCATCTGGTAGATTGTCTATCTTCTCGTGGCTTAGTACTATTTTTGGAGCTTTAATCTGTTCTTCCATTTGGGCCATTTCTTTTCTTTTTTTCTTTCTTTCTTTCTTTTTTTTTTTTTTTTTTTTTTTGGTCTCAGCAGGCCTGTTACGTTGTAAGGGGTGGGGCCTTAGATATTCACCAGGGAGAGGCAACCCACTTGGCTGTGTTGTGGTGCTGTATATTGGGGAGAGGTCAGAGAGGGAACAATGCCACTTGCTCGGTGCTCGGCTGGCTTTCAGTCACTTTCCCCACTACTCAACAAGCAAATTGGGCCTTTCTGGTGCTGACTCCCAGGTGGGTGCATTTGTGTACGTTCTAGGACCCTGTGGGTCTCTCCAACAAACTCTCCTGTGAGTCTGGGAGTTTCTCCCACTGCTGCAACCCTATAGGTTTTTACAGCCAGAGGTTTTGAGGCTTTATTTCCTGTGCTGGAACCCTAGGTTGCTGTGGTCTGTCTCACTCCCCTGTTGTTTGTCTCAGTTTCTCTGCACGCAAATGCAGGACCGCCTGGTTCAGCTGCTACCTTGCCATGAGTCCTCTCTGCCCCAGCTGCCTGTCTCCGCCCCTCTTACTGGTCTGGATGAATGTTTCTTCTTTAACTCCTTGGTTGTCAGACTTCCAGACAGTTCGATTTTTTGGCAGTTCTGGTTATTTTTTGTCTTTAAGTTTGTTCTTGTCCTTTTTTGGTTGTGCAAGGAGGCAAAGCATATCTACCTATGCCTCCATCTTAAAAGCCAGAAGTCCCTGGCTTTTGATTTTGTTTATGCTGTATATGACTATATACAAGCCTTTGATTTTTGTGACTGGGTTTATTAATCATAATCATAATAGGAAGATCCTCTGGGTTACAAAAATAACCCTTACTTTATTATATTTTTCTTTTAACACTCTCATTGTTTAAGTTTTTACATTTAAATCCTTGACATATTTTATTCTAGTGTGTGGTGTGAAGTATGGAACCAACTTTTTTTCTACATGGTCATCTAGTTTTTCCCACCAACTTCAGCTGCCATCTTTATCAAATATATTTAGTCCTGACTGTTTTGGGGTCTCATTCTAGACTTTGCATTTTCTTTCATTGATCTTCTGCCTACTCTTATGCCAGGGTCACATTTCTTTTCTTTTTTTTTTTTTTGAAGATCTAATTTTCTTTTTATTTTTTCCTTTTCTTTATCATTGACAGTTACCGATGTCCCTCGTTTTTGTTCTTGTTTTTTAATTACTGAGGCTTTAAAGTATGTTTTAATAGCTGATGAGTCTTGTTCCCTCTCTGTTCTTTTGGAGAGTTTTCCTGGCTAATCTACTTTCTCCTTATAGACTTAGGGATTATTTTTTTCAGTTGCAGGGGGAAAATCTGTGGCAAATTTTTTGAGGTTGGTTTCAATTTTATAAATTAGTGTGGCATGTTTAGAATGGGTTCATCTCTAAGAACATCGTATGTCTTTCCATTTGTTCCAGGATTGAGGAGTGTTTTTTAGTTACTTTGGGGTGTTTTTTTTTTCACTTTTTATTAAGTTTACTTTTAGTTTTATCTATCTTGTTTTACCAAAGTTTATAATTTTATTTCCCATGTAGATCTGCCTTTAGGGAAATGATATCCTTAAAGCATGCAAAGAGTGTTCTTTGAGTGTCAGTTTAATTCTCCCATTGACACTCTGGTGTTACACGTCATTCTGTGTGAGCAGGGAGTGTGATTCACAGTGAGACGTGCATCTGCTCTTCACAGACCAGTAAGTAGGATTCCAGAGCCAAACCTTAGATGTTAGAAAATTCACCCTTGTGAATACACCCACCAGTGTACGTTGCCCAGCGGGTGCCCTCTTGGTAGACAGCCAGATGACCTCCCTCTGTAACACTGCAACAGTATCTATGCCTTTGTTTTAAAAATCAATAGTTCACTTAGTGTCACTATTTTAAGAAAGCCTGTTATTCATGGTAGTTATACATGAATGGCAGTCTCTTCAGCTGTTACTGATGTTTCTGCAGCTGCTTATGAGTCAGAGAGCCCAATCTAAACACTAATGATATGCTTTGGAAAATTACTATCTTTGGTCAAGCCTTTAATGGATGTTTTAAATTCTTATATGTTACAGAATTTCACAAACTTATTTGGACAGCCACTAGTCTGCTTGCTTTCTCCTACAGCATACCCAAAAGCTTTACAAGGTATGTCCTGTCATTGCCTCTTATATCCATAGGTTGCAATTAAATGCTGCTACATTTTGAATAATACTGATCTTTGTTTCCCGCCTATAATGATCACATGTGGATGTATGGTATTTAATGTGGCAGGTGTCAGTCTGAAATCAACCAGAAGTCTTGCTATCATTAGGCCTTGAGATAATTCTCAAAGAAATGGTAGAGCATTCCTGAGAAAAGGGAGGTTCTGGTCCCTTGCTCTTAGGGAACTTATGATTTGTGAATTTTAAAATTTGTTTTGCAGCTGTTTGTTTTTGGAAAGCTTGTTCTCATCCATCTAGCATGATTCCCCATATCGCTGGCTACCTCTTTTAAGACTGTAAGATTTCTGGCGAGAAGACTTCTCAGCCTATGCCTAAGAGTTAGGATTCTCTAATTGGCACAACTTAAAGGGTTTCTTTTATCCATATTTTTACCTTGTTGTATTTTTTAAATAAAAGAACCTCTTCTCAGTGTGCCAGAGAGACAGGTCAGTGTTCTGGCCATTTCTCAGATCAATAAGAAATGAAAGACTTTTAATAATTTGTCCTTAAAAATACTAATAATAATTTGTCCTAAATTAGAAGCACATGCAGTCTGGTTCTAGAGCCCAGGCATTAAGCTAGGTACGCTACTAAACAAACCTTGACGCTGTTTTAGCAGTTCTTGTCACCATTTCACTATCTCCCTGACTGTGAATAGTGCTGATGTCTCTCTGTGGGAGATGGCATTTTACTGCTACTTCCCAGCCAGAAGTCCTGTCTGCTGACATAGTTTGACACAGGAAGTGATGGTCAGCATTTGAATGCCTGAGAGAAGCTGGAGACTTGTCACTGTTGTTTTAAGGTAAGTTCTGCTATTTAACAGGGAGGAACATGTAGAAATACTAAGTTTCTGTATTCAAAAGTCAAATTACTAAGGGATAGAACTTACCTTCAAACAACGGTAAAATTCTCCTGCTTTGAGGACTTTGTTAATCTGTTGCTCTGGAGAAATGTAACCCCTTCCAATTACTTGAGAGTGCTTTTTGCTCTCCATTTGTCCTCTCAACCGGGGAGCTTTGGTTAAAATTGCATGATCTAATGGGTTAATACCAAGACTGTTTGGTCTGAAAGACTTTATTATGTGGAGGATAAAAACAACACAAACTGATTGAACTTGAATCCCAACTCAGCCACTGACTAGCAATGTGACCTTGGATGTCTCCTTCGCCATTCTGTGCCTCAGTTTATTTTTTATCAAATGGAGATAATAATAGCACCAGCCTCATAATTCTGAGTACCAGAACACTAAGTATTCAGTGTGTGCTATCATTATTATTAATATACTTAGTTGTAATGTACATCCTTAATATTTTTTAGTCCAGTGTCCTATCTTTTGTGCTATAAAGCTTAGTCCTTTAATCGCTAAGTGTGCCCCATCTGGGCACAAAACCAGTAGATATCTAAGTGTTTGGAATGTCAAATTAGGCCCCTGTGCCTCTGGTATCTAAAGTCTAGTTTTCTCTTTACCCAAGAGTTACTTCATTCATTCAACAAATATTCATTCAACATTTGTCAGGCACAGTACTAGGCATTGGAGGTAGCACTCTGACCAGACGAACACGGGAATGTTTCTCACAGAGCCGGCTGTCTAGTAGGAGACACAGACAACCTAACGAGCAGCCACTGCAAGGGCCGTTAGTGTCTCAGGAGGAGGCATGTGCGGCGCTTGAGGAACTGCTGACCAGCTTTTGAGAGTGAAGAAAATGCATGAAGTGATGTCTAAAGTGGAGTTGAAGGATATCCAGAATTATGGAACATTTAGAGAAATTAAAGTAGCTCCTGCTAGTTGAAGGGCCGAGTTTGGAATCCTGGGACTAAATTATAAAAAACCTTTCATGATTTAAATAGAGGACAGCGGGTACCATCAGAGGATTTTAAACAGCAGTAGCAGGAAGGAGCACTCGGTCAACCCAATGTAAAATGAATTGGAGGGGAGAATTGATGGAAATAGATTGTGGCAGCCAAGCTAGGATGGTGGCTGGGGAGCTGGCTGCAAAAGATAGGAGCCCAAAGAACCAGCAGGGCTTGGTGATGGTGAGGGAATAAGGGAGAGGAAGGAGGCAGGAATGGACTTCAGGTTTCTGGCTGAGGTGCTGGTAGAAATAATGATACTGAATAAGAAGCGAATTTATAAGAGAATGAAAGGGGAAAAATTGTTGTCAATTTTTTGGTATGTTGAGTTTAAAGTTACCTTTGAGAGCTTGAATTTAGTAATCTAGAGAAACTTTGTCCAATTGAAATAAAATGGGAGACACATTTTTTAAAAAGTAGAAAGTAACTGGTAAAATTAATGTTAAAAATGTGTCTTTTCATACTGCTGCTTTGAAATCCCATGTGTACTTTACACTTCATAGTGTGTCTCAGTTTGAACCAGTCACATTTTAAGTTCTTTTCAAGGGTCCAGTAGCTACTGCAAGACAGCAAAGCTCTACACTTAAGGAGCTCAATGTAGGCTGCAGATAGAGAGTCGGGAATCAGTAGGCATGGAAATGCTAACCAAGATTATGGGAGTAGGAGAGATCAGCAATGTATCAGGCCAAAGAAAGGAAGGGGTGATATTGAAGGGATAGGAGGAGAAAGAGCGGCAGTCGTAGCACTTATCTGAGAATTCTGTCATGAATTGCCTGTAAGCCAGCCCTTGCCCTATTTGGATAAGATTTGTTAATCGGAGGGGAAAAGGCAAAGGAATATGTTCATGTTCTATTTCTCTTTAGTTTACTAGCCTCGAAAGCTTGTTCAGCAGAAATCAATGTACCTGGAATATGTTTTTGTAGTTCCTTGCAGAACCTACTTTGTTGAATTATGATTTAATGATGTAGCATTAATTTTATATATTATCAGTATATTAAAATGTTCCTTAAATGCATCCTTATCTTTTGCAAGTGTTTTCTATGTGTGTGTATGTATATATATATAACATGTTTGTTATTACAGATCAATCTCAACGAGGTAGCCTCTTCACTCTCTTTTTGAACAATCCTCTAATGGCCTTCCTATTTGTCTCTGGATTGTCAAGCATGCGTAGAGGCCTGTGGGAAAAGTGTCAAGAATATCTTCGAAAAATCAACCGCGATATTGCCCAGCTACTGACGCATTCACGTTCAATAGGTACCCTACTAATCTAACGGCACACTTAACAGAACGTACTATAATGGTTTAAAATTTTTTAAAGTTGTTTAAATTGTTTGAATTTTTAAAGGTATTTGTTGAAGGCAGGAAAGTTGAAAAGGTTTTCCTGAACTTTCCTTCCCCTTGAAACATATTTTCCCTTTAAGTTTTGTTTTACTGTCGCCTTTGTCCCCTTTGCAGATCAGGCATTCCTGCAGTTTTTTGGAGATGAATTTCTCCGCTTGCTTCTCACAAGATTTGTCTTTTGTTCAGCCACCATGAGGATGCACAAGATTTTTCGGGTAGGCAAAGAATATTTTAATGGCCAATTTTACCATGTTAAGTATTTAAGAAACATGTTATATTTTGCCTGTATTAAACAGAATTCGAATAGATCCAAAATCATATTCACAAATTAATATGTAAAGTATTAAAAGTGGACAAAATAAGGCACACTTAATTACCCACCACTCAATTTAAGAAGTAGAATATTTTCATTGTCTTTGAGGCCCCTTGTGGGTCCTCCCTAATCCTGTCTCCCTCAACACAAACTAAAATCCTGATTTACATAATTATCATTCACTTTTCTTTAATTTTGCCACATGTATTTGTGTTCCTACACAACATGTTGATGAATCCATATTTTATGTATTTTATAACTTGCTTTTTTTCGCTCCCTGTTGTATTCCTGAGATTGAGCCCTGTGGATGACTAACTTAGCTTTCATTTATTCATTTTCACTGCTATATAGGATTTCATTGTTTGACTATGTAGTGCAAATTACTCATCTAGTCTACTGATAATGGAAATTTGGTTGTTTCCAGTTTTTTATTATAGTAAACAATGCCATTGTGAAATCTTCTATCAGTTTCTTGTATTTACTATAGTAAAACAAAAATTTGGTCTTTGTAATGTGTAATGAGTGAGGCTACAGGAATAAGAGAGATAGAAATGACATTGGAATATATGTGCTGTCATGCGAGATGCATAGAAAAGCAGCAACTTATTTCTTCTGGAAATTTTAAATATGTGGCAAAATTATGGCCTATAGGAATGACCAAATGAAGAAGAATTTCCAAATGAGAATTACCAGGTTCTTGAAATTGTCATCTTGTTTTGCCTTCATGTAATTATAGAACTTTTTTTCTTTTTTATTATTCCTTTTCTGTTTTTTTTTTCCTTTATCTGAACTTTCATCTGCCTTTTTAGGAACTTTTTCTTTTACTTTTTCCTAATATATTTAGAAATCTCATCTATTTTTATGGCTTTAATATTTCTCTCCATGTAGCTTATATCAGTGTTTACATATACTGCTCAAACTTGTCTTCTGAGATACAGCCCTAAATTTTCAAATCCTGGTTGAGGAGCAGTTCTAATTGTATTGCCCTGTTAGCACAAATAAAATATACCTAAAACCTGAAGCTTTATACTGCCCCCAAATTAGCTTCTCCTCCTCTTTTTCTCTCAGTGGTTCCCATCTGTTCTCTGGAGTCATCTATTCCTGAAATTGTACAGTATTTTTTTTAAGACTTTATTTATTTATTTTTAGAGAGAGGGGAAGGGAGGGAGAAGGAGAGGGAGAGAAACATCAATGTGTGATTGACTCTCATGTGCCCCCCCACCCGCCTGGCCACTGGGAATCGGGCCCACAACCCAGGCATGTGTCCTGGAAGTCAAACCAGCAACCCTTTGGTTTGCAGGCTGGTACTCAATGCATTGAGCACACCAGCCAGGGCTGAAATCTTATAGTCACTTTGACACATCCCTCTCTTGTAATTAATCTCAAAGGCCCATGCTTCTCATCTTTTTTCTCTCATTTTAATTTCCACTACAAATTTATTTATTCATTCATTTAACAAATACTTATTGAAATATGTAGGATTTCTCTCTCCCCTAACAAGTAGAACTTGGTGTCTGTAATATAGTGCCCAGAAATGATCGGCTTCTGTAATTATTTGTGAATTAACTTGCTAAATTAATAGATTAGGTTGAACCATATGAAATTGTAATTTTTTAAGGTCAAGGTGGTCAAATGCCAGCAATTTTATACATTCAAAAACTATGTTACCAATAAGAATCATACCAATATGAAAGAGAAAAATATATAATATCAATATGTCACTCTTTGATGTTAATGTTAACAGTAATATTATGTTTATGATTTTCTTTCATTAAACTATAAAACTTGACTTTTCTCTTCTTTGCCTATTAGGAAACACGAAATTATCCTGAATCATATCCACAACTGCCAAGGGATGAAACAGTGGAGAACCCCCATCTCCAGAAGCACATTTTGGAATTGGCATCCATTCTGGATGTTCGAAACGTGTTCTTTGAAAATACCATAGATGACTATTAAAGCAAAAATCCTCTTGTCAAAACAGTTTTTTCATTTGCCACAGATTTTAAAAGGTGCAGTTTTCTAATGTGATGACAGACACATAGTGGTTTTACTTAGTTTTTATTTTTTAATTTAGGACCACCATTTTAAAAACAAACTGAAAAAATTGTTCATACTTTTAGGGTAATTGTTTTAAAATACAATCTTTTGGGTCTTTTTAAAAACTCAACTAATCTTGGGATTTTTATTTTTATTTTTTGGTTTTGAGGTATGGAACCTTGCCTCCAGCATCTAATCCTACGCTCAAACAGTCTCTATTCTCACCCTTTGAGGAATAAATTATTTATTTTTGTATAATGAAGAAAATCCAGCTCAAACTTGGACCTTACATGTATGGATTTGGAAAATATGTAATTGTTCACAGAGATGAAACTAGCCAGCATGGATTATTAGAAATCAAGAACAGAGTCCAGAGTTCTGCCATATGATTTCTTTTCATTCCAACTTAGTAGGTAGAAAATATGTGATTCTCTGAAATATAATGAAGACAGTTCTTGAAATCATTTAACTTGTTTAAATACTGTCAGAATTTCAGAAACTGTATAAGATTGATTTGCATCTGAAGGCTAAATCTTTAATTGGGGTCTTGAGAAGGATGAATATCATTTGGAATGTGTGAGTCTTGTGTTCCTATGAGATATGCTTGCATATTTTGTTTCCTTCATAGTCTTTGTTGAAAATGAAAAATAATAACTTTTAAGTATTTCACTTAAAACTCAGATAGTTGGTTTCATAATACAGTATTTCCAGTAGGAATTCTATTTAAATTCTTCATTCGTAAGATCAGGTTTAAAGACTGTCTAGGTTGAAGTCCGTGGTGTGCAGTACAGAGTTTGTAGTCTTTTTGCATAGTTCAAATTTATGAGACTTCAGAGTCAGAGATGTTATTAATTTTAGCTGAGGGTAACTGAATTGTTATTTAACCTAAAATGTAAGTTGCTTTTGCATTGACAATTTGGCAATGAGATTTTTTAAAACTTCTTTCATTTAATATTTTATATTCATGCACAAATTTTTTATTTTAAATAGGACTCAGTATATAATATAAAGATGTTTGTGTTTTTCCTCCCTGTTCATCCCCTTCATAATTTCACAGGCACTAGCTATGATGTTTCCCCCCTCTTTTAACTCCACAGAATTCAAGTTCAGAAAGTTATGGATCAAAAGCCCTTCTAAATTTTCTGTACAGGCTCACGTTCTATCTCTGGCAGTCCCAGGGGAAATGATGATAGCTTTTGCTGCCTCTTTCCTGTGTCCCTAGGGAAATTTTACTGTAATATTTTTAACTTGGTTTTCATTTCTGTCATACAGAATTAGTTGGGTCTAAGTTATTCATATACCTGTTTCAATTGGCTGATTTTTCACCTGAAGTCTTGAAGTTATTGTTCTTGGTTTTGGGGGACTTTGTGGTGTTTTATTAATGTTTAAATTATGTTTGTTTGTCCTTTTAAACATTATTTCAGAAAGCTTTGGAAACGTTATTCTGGGTAGAGATTTTCCTTGCCAGTGGGTTGCTTTTAACGATCAGATAAAGACTGCTTTCCCTTTTTCAGTCCCCTCATTAACGCCTGAGCTTTCCTGTGGGCTCCGTGTTCACCTGGACTCCAGCAGTGGACAGGCCCTCATGGTCTGACTGCTTGTGTCAGTTCTCCCAAAGTTCTGTGCCAGTAATGTTCCTAACAACACATATTTTCCTGTTCTCTGATGCTTGAAAGAACATTTTACATCCTGAGCTTTATCCTCACCTGTTTAGCATAAAGAACACTGGTCTGAGAACTAGGAGGCCTGAGTTCTAATCCTGGCTTTCCTGGTAACTAGCTTTATGCCCTTGGCGGTTGTCTTCATGTCTCTGCTTGTTAGCATTCTCATCTGTAAGATGAAGGCATTGGCCCAAGGTGCTGTGCAATTCAGTGGTTCTGTAATTTAAACTCTTGGTTCCAAAGGATATTGATTTCTCCATCCATGTTACCTGGAAAACTAGTTTCCCTGATTTTAGTGTACACAATATTTTCTTTTCTAGATTATATCTAAGTAATTTTTAATCAAGAAAATATCTGGGTCTCACTTAGTTGTTGTAGAAACTAGTTCAGAGAAAGAATCTCCTTCTGTGATTAGAAATGTGTTTATCTCAGAACAAGGGGTCTTGGAAATCACAATGAGAGTTTAGATGATGTCATTGCTTCTTAAGCTAATAGTGTAATTCCTCACTGGTAGTTAAAATTTGTAAGTGAACCAAAGTGATCTTGAGAGGAGAACTGCTAGAAAGTTCTAAACTATTGTTTCATTCATGCCTTCAAAAAAAAAAAGTGTGTTGAACAACAGCCACACTCCAGATTTTGTGCTAGGCATTGGGGAAGCGAACAAAGTAGACTTAAAAGTTCTTGTCTTCATGAAGCTTCCATTCTAGTAGGAGGAGTCAGGCAATAAATATAATAATTAATTTTATGTTAGAAATTTATAAGTAGTGTGAAGAAAAGTTAGATCATGGTAAGGGAAATTTTTTTTGTTTGTTTTGGGGCAAAGAGCAATGTTGAAATGAGTGATCAGGGTTGGCCTTACTGAGAATATTACATTTGTGCAAACACTTCGTATTTCTTTGTCTTTTCTCTCTCCAGGTTTTTACCTTTTATTATAAAAATTTTAAAGATAAGCAGAGTTTACTGCACCCACTTATGCCCACTACCCAGCTTCTCATTTTAAGGTGTTACTTTAAGCAAGGAAGAAGAAACGTAAAGGGACAATCACCCAGTGGGCTCAAAATGGCAATGGCAAAGAGTCTCATTTTTTTCAATGCATACTGCTCCCCTTTATAAATATAAATATATTAAGCTCTTTATTTAGTTTTAGAATTCATAGAAATTGAAATATTGGAACTAAGAACAGAACAAAGCAATAGGGAAGGGCCGTCTTTGTTTTCAAATTGCACAAACTCCCCCTGGAGATTCTGATACAGTCACTCATCCTTAAAAATCGGTGTAAACAAAATAGGGAGTATAAGACTACAAGAAGTCAGTTATACACAAAACAAAATTAAGCACAATGGAATTATTTTCTCTTTCTTTACCCGTATATTTCTGAAGCTGGTGAAGCACCTATCTTCCCTATTTTACGAAAGAGAACTGTAAGACCCCCAGCACCACCAAACCTATTCGTTTACTCACAGTAATAGTTAGAACTCGAGTCTCCTAATCTCAGCCCAGTCTTTCCAGTAGCTCAGGTTGTTTTCTATAATGAACAAGAAAGAAATAATTAGAGATTTATATTTTGGCACAAAGGTTATGGTATTTTTAATATCAAATATTAAAACCAGTAAATCAGTCAACCCTAGCAAATTTTTATGTATTAATTGTAAAAAATCCACAAGTTAGACATTTTGTCCTTGATTTTAGCTGGGATATTTTGTGTGTGTATGTGTGTGTGTGTGGGTGTGTGGGTGTGGGTGTGGGTGTGGGTGTGTTCCTAAGGGAAGTGGTGCTCTCAAAACCTCTCAAAGCACATAAAACTTACTGTGCCCTTTATATTTTTACCAAGGTGAAATGTTTTGAGGTTATAAAAGCAAAGTGCAATCTAGTCATGACTGAAATGTTTGTGATCTAGGGTCTAGGTTTTATTTTTCCTCATTTATGGCTTCTGCCCTCTATTTTGTTTTTGTAATAGAATTCCCTAACACGGGATTAGATGGTGACTGAACTGAATATCATTGAGGTAAAGGGAAAATCGACAAATCCGCTTTTTTATATATCAATAATGTAGCTTTTTGTAGCATTCTTCTTCAAGTTTAATCTCTGACCTGTGTGATTTAGTAATTCTCTGTCTCTTACAAGGATTTTGGACTCAGTTGAAAAATCTCGTACTTAGTTATCCACGGAGACTTGTAATCAGCCTGATAACAAGGGAGTATAGTAAGGTACCAAGGTCTGCAAACTTGGCTAGTGACTCAAAACCAAACCCCTACCCTAAGTGATAAAAGATATGATTTTTAATATGAATGGTATGAACCTCCTGGTAATATTTTGGGTGTATATGTGTTCCTGTGTGTTTGTTTGGAGAGGGTAAAGCATATTTATGTTGAGGGCTCTTTTGTTTATTTACTTGAAATTCTTATTCGTAATGGCATGTGTATATTTTTATGATGCTAAATGCAATCTCTGTGTATACTTTTTGTATATATGTACATATTTGTAAATATATTGGTATGCAATGATATAGTATGTGTATATTATATACCCATACCCATTGTGGGCTGAATTTATTTACGTTCTGTGAGGACATCATAGTGGCATTGTTCATGCTGCTGTAATTAGGTTGTGGCTGTATCTCATTCATGAGCCTCTATTTTGAGGGGCTTTTGTTTGGGTAAAAAGGGTAAATTTGGAGTTGAAATTAGGGTACGAAGATCTTAACAGAAAGCTGGATATTCTTAGCTTTAAATTTATCTGCCAATTTTCATTGAAACTGATGATAAATTAGTGATATAAACCTGAAAAACCTAAGTATGTGAAACTGAGACACCAGCAGGTTCTTAAGCTATGTTAGTCCTTTATTTTCTTGATCCATAGTTGAGTATTGTTACTAAGTAGTAAAGTATTTACACTGAGAATCAAGGGACTGTGGGGAAAAATTACTTTGGTCACATTTCAAAATAGATAGGAAAATGTCCTTTAAATAGGGAATATGTTTCTAGTTGCCATTTTATTACCTGATACTGACTTTTAATTTTGGAACACTTTTTTTCACTGATGTGTCTCATTTTATATCTGACTCTGTGAGGCAGAAAAAAGGGGCATTAGCTGGGGGACTTAGGTTGGGTAAAATGTATTGGGAACAGGAGGTTGTTAATCTGTATATTTACAGCAGCTGTGATCATTTTAGTCCCGTCTTTACATTTCCGACTGTAGATTTTTCTTATTGTGGTTGCATATCAAAGATGAGTATGTTCATCTGAGAAAATGCTTCCAGTGAATAAAAAGCCTCCAGTTGTATTTCTTTGTCTCTATGAGATCACTTGTGTTCTGCAATTGATGACATATT